GTGAGGGTGTATGTGGGGTGTGGTTGGGGTGTGGTGGGGTGGGTGGGTGTGAGGGGGGTTCTGGAGGGGTTTGGCTATGTGTGGGGGGGAGTGTGTGTATGTGGGCAGGGTGTGGGGATGGTGTGGTTGCTGGGGGTAGTGTGGAGAAGGTATGGGGGTGTGAGGGAGGGTTTGAGTGTGGGAGGCTGTGCCCCCTCCACATGCCTTCTCCATGGTGCACAGCCCCCACTGCCAGTGCCAGCAGCAGCAGGCAGACCCCCTGGCAGTGCATGGCTCCAGCCACTTCCAGGAGCTGCAAATGGTGGCAAGGAATGGGACCAGGGCAGCCTGCCTCCATTGCATGGGGCTCCCCATGTTTCATGTGCAGCTCCTGAGACCTGGCCAGAACCATACACTGGGAGGGGGGAGTCCTGCATTATGAAACCAGCAGCCTGGCCCTGCTCCCTGCCACTCCCTGGGACTCTGCTGGGAAGTGGAGCCAGCCTAGATCCATCAAGTGGGGCTCCTTGCCACTTCCAACGGAGTCCCAGGAACTGACCCAGGCTCTGCATTGCTGCTGCCTCACTGGGTACCAGGTGCCCCAGGCTCTGTACTCCTACCCAGCTTCAGCTTTTCCCTGCTCCCTGGCACTTCCCTACCTGTTACCCAGAGCACTGCAGCAGGGACATGAGGAGGAGCTGGGGGACCCAAGCAGTTCTCCCAGTAGCAGCCCCACCTAGAAGCTGTATGCTGGCTGGAGCCAGGGCTCTCCCTCACATAAGGGTGGGAGAATAATGTGCTGCCCCAGCAAGAATGTATGGTGCTTAGGCCTCATGTGAGTGCAGCACAGGCAACAACAGGCTGGGTGGAATACAATTAATTGGTGGGTGCCTGCCCACAGGCCGGATTAAATTACCTGGTGGGCCAGATTTGACCCATGGGACTTTTTTTACCTGCCCCTGCACTAAAGGATGGAAAGATGAAGCGACTTGAAGGTCATGCACCAGGTCAACAGCAGAGTTGAAATGGAATTCATGGTTCCCAATGCACCATCCACTGCCTCTCAAATTATCTATTAAAAAAACCTAATATAATACAGTGACCTGCAATGCTACTTTACTCAGCATTATTCTGGCTTTACTGGAGCTATACATGTTGCAAAAATAGAGCACTATGGGGCCTGCATATGTCTCAGCACCCTCCACTCTCTCTCTTAGCACTCGCATGCTCTCCAGCATTTGGGCAACAGTGGGCAGGCCCAT